CTTTATGAGCCAGAACACAAACTTGGCTGCTGATCACAAATTAACCCTTCATACATGGGAAAGCAAAATTCAGTCTTACTTTTAGTTGTTTCCAAGTCCTTATGGTTGTGGCATCTCTTTGATGTATCTAAATCAAAACAGGGCCAGGAAGTCTGAGAGACAGGGCATAGTTATTTGGTTTGTGTTTTTGCCCATAGCACATACTACATTTGCTGATACAGTAGTTTGAAAATTAAAAAAGTCAAAATTCTTCATGACTTCTAACTGGATTACAGTACAGTGGGGGCTTGACTTGAGAACTTAATCCATATTGGAAGGCGGTTCTCAAGTCAAAAAGTCTGTAGGTCAAGTCTCCACTGACCTACAGTGCATTGAAAACCGATTAATCCCGTAACAGGCCATTTTTGTTCCATTTTGGGTTTTTTTCTGGTCTGTAAGTCAATTCTCAGGCTGCAAGTCAAACCTAAATTTTGCGGCCAGAGAAGTTTGTAACTCAAAAAGTCTGTAAGTCAAGCCGTCTGTAAGTCAAGGGTACACTGTACCTGCTTCCTGATTTCAGCTATTATAGTTTGTATTCAGGTTTTTTGGCTCGCCAAGAACACTGTTCCTGGCTTTGTGCTGAATAACCTGTTGTGCCTTGCATACTATAAACGTTCAATTATGTCTTATGCTGAGCATGTGCTACTGCATGTGAATGGGATCAGGTTAAGCTTTGTGTTGCTGTTCTTTTGCATAACCTAAAATAAATAAGGAAAACCAGCTGTTAAATAGTTTAATTCCACTATTTAACCTCCACACAACTAAAATGGACCTCTCAATGCAGTGCCAAATCAGACAAACCATTTCTAACTTATAGGCTTGAGCTGTAGCTGGGCAGAGTTGCACAACAATCTCATCTGTCATTGAGGCATTTCTATAAGCATGGGGATGAGGTGGATGAAAGGAAATGTAAAATAAAGGTAGTGTGATATAGGTCTTATCACTGGCTGATAATGGTCTATATGTACTTGACTTAAATTTATGGTACACAAATTTATTTAAGTCTCTCCATTTGTTAACGACAGTGGTAATGGTTCTTAATGCAACTGTTGACTGCTGTTCACTTTACATGGTTGAAATGTTATTCTGTTATAGTTTATTAAATATTTTATTACACTATTTGGTTCAGAATATATTTTCCCTGTTTTCCTCCTCTAAAAATTAGGTGCGTCTTAAGGTCAGGTGCATCTTATGGAGCAAAAAATATGGTAACATCTACCTTCCTGACAGTAATCTCAAAGTAGAGTAAGTCATCAGAACATAATACATGGGCTAAACAGCATGTTTTTATTCTTCATATTAAACTGATTAAATGTCAAATGATTCAAAATTCCAAAATTACAAATTTTCCTATGCAGTTCAAGCTTTTGTATTCTAATACAGAAAGATGAAAGGTTTTAGTCTTCTGTAGCCATGTTTTGCCAGAGAATCCACACAAGCCTAGACTAACAAGGAAGGTATCTTATGATATTGTGACTTTGAGGTTTAGATCCTTTTGCCATAAGTTACACTGCATAAGGCTGATGATACCCATATGATTTTTCAAAAATTAAACATTTCTGAGTTCTCTTAGAGATCCTGTATAAACACTTTCACCATCAGAAAGTTGTTGTGGGCTGCAGGATGGGGTGGAGGACTCTTTAATTACCAAAACTTGCTGCTGCTGAGATCCTAGCAACCACAATTTCTGGTAAGTAGATTCCCCCTCCCATTCTGTAGCCTCCAACAGCTTTCCAGCAATGAAAATGATGCCTTGGGACCTTCAGGGAGATGTTGATAATGTCTAATTTCTACAAAATTACCACAGCTGATGCTGTCATCAGCCTTACACAGCATAATTTACACAACAGGATTTTACCCTAAGAGTTGTAACTGTCTCCTCATCTCAGGTACTTGCCGTATACAACTTCCATATAAATTCTGAGAAACTACAGGAGTTTTGCACTCCAGGAGGTACTAAAAAGGGCATACCTTTGGGAGAGTATGCTGGAATATTCTCACTCTACAGACAGGTTCTCAAAAGAAACTGAAATGTTTAATGTAAGTCTGACTGTCCTTGCAAAAGAAATCTGGATGTGCAGTATTAGTCAGTAGCTCCACCCACCCAAGATGTCTTGCAAACTGGGCAGACATTACCAGGAAAAACAACTTATGTAAACACACCCTCAATTGTTCCAGGGAATTTTTTCATCTTTCTACCAGAACGGAAGAGCAAAATAACTTGGCTAGATGAGGCCAAGGGTCCTTTCTATGCTGTTTCCAAAGTAGCAAACGAGATGCTTCTGGAAAGCCTTTAAATAGGCATGAAATCAATATTAAGGCTTTCCCCACCGTCCTATTTGATCCTAAGCAATAGGAATTCAAATACAGTGGTGTCTCGCTTAGCGACGTCAATCCTTTCCAGGAAAAAGTCGCTAAGGGAAATAAAAAAGCCCATAGAAACGCATTAAAATGTGTTTAATGCGTTCCTATGGGCTTGAAAACTGACCTTATGCGAAGATCCTCCATTACGGTGGCCATTTTGGGTGCCTCTAAAGCGAGGCAACACAGCGGGCGGCCATATTGTTTACCCGGCGGCCATTTTGGAACTGCTGATCAGCTGGCCGAAAACGGGGGCTTTGCGATGGTCGCTTCCACGCAATCATTGCAAAGTGAAATTCCCCCATAGGAAACATTGGAAATCTATCGCTTTTGTGATCGCAAAAACAGTGTCGCAAAGCGATTTCGTCGCTCAAAGGAGCGATCAGTAAGCGAGGCACCACTGTACTGCCTTGACATATAGGTAAAGGTAAGCCTTGACAATTTGTCCAGTCGTGTCTGACTTTAGGGTGCAGTGCCCATCCCCGTTTCCAAGCCACAGTGCCAGCATTTGTCTTAAGACAGCATTTGTCTGGTCACGTGGCCAACACGACTAGACACAGAATGCTGTTATCTTCCCACCGTGGCGGTACCTATTTATCTACTCACATTTACATGCTTTCAAACTGCTAGGCTGGCAGGAGCTGGGACAAGCGATGGGAGCTCACTCCATTCTAATGACTGCTGGTCATCCGACCCTGCAGCACAGAGGCTTCTGTGGTTTAACCCGCAGCGCCACCACGTCCCTTGCCTTGACATAGATTCCATTAAAGTATTCTGTCCCCAACTTCCTAGTACTCCAATTTTGTTGCTGACAACTGCCAAATATCCATTCATATTAAGATGTTTTATTCTGCAAAAAAAAAAATCAATCATGTGATTTAGTACTTTTCTATTTATGAGGAAAGAAAATGATACATTACAACTACCACAGAGCAGTGAGGTTTAGGTCAGCCATTTGCAGGCTCAGCTCCCCAGACGCTGTTGAACTACACTTCCCTTAATTGCTGACATTTTACCACATTGGAGAGGGGTGTTCGGAACTGGCAAATGAAGGCTGGCTTAAGCCTTGGACATGAAATGTGTGGTCCTTAAGATGTTGTTGGACTACAATTCTCTCATCCTTGCCTATGACTTTCTTCACCCTTGCCCAAGTATTATGAGAAATGTTGTAGGCCTGAGAGGCCCACAGAGAACAGATGAATTTAAAATCTCCCAGTCATTTGCTACTTCTAGGATATTAACCAGTGGTACAGCAGAGCCAGGTCTTGTAGAATCAACACCATAAGGTTTTCTGAGTAGCAACTTCTATAGCATTACCCACCCCCCTACTCAGGCTTCCCAACTTCTTCTGAACTCAGCTGCAATCCCCACAGTAGCTTAGAGAGAGAAAGAGTTCCCACAAGCTATCCCTGCTGTAATGCTAAGTATTTGAAAGTGGTTTAGTCTTGAACTGAGCAAGTAAAAAGCAGTAGCTTTACAAATGAGCTTCTCATCTGTCAATATGGACCAATCCACCTGCTTGCATTTTGGACTCATCTTGTGGGGTGGCTGGATATATGGACTGACATGATGAGCACCAGGGCTTCCAAATTTACCACCACTTGACTAATACTAATGCTTTCCAAAACATTCAAGATGCAAGCAAGGAATAAAGCAGGGAGTAAAGCACCAATGAACCCATTCATATGTACATTTACTTAGATGTAAGTCCCACCGAGTTCAAGAGGGCCTATCAAGAGGCAAGTCTCAGATAAAATCCTATGGGCAATTAAATCCCACCAAGCACGATAGCACTTCCGAGTAAACAGACATGGGATCAGTCTCATAGGATCTCAACTCAAGAGCGTTGCGCTCTAAGGACTCGGGTGAGATATGAGGTCTTCAGAGATAAACAACCAGGTGCCTTCGCCGCTTCCCATAACAGGTCTCACAGCTGCCCAGTAATCGGCCCGGCAGCGGGAGAGAAGAGCTGGCGTTGCGGGGGTTACTTACAGCTCTAGTCTCGTACAGTACCAGCTTCTGCACAGAGCTGATGATCGGAGCCGCCGCGGGCATGGCGGCCGCAGGGGAGCGGGGGGGGCTGCCCCTAGCAGGGAACCGTCCTAAGGGGCCCCCTCCTCCTTTTGAGGGAAGGTTTGGCCCTAACCCCGCAAAGGATACCGCACTGGGGTAGAAGGGTCCACAAGCACCTCCCCACTCCGCTCCACGGAAGGCACGCCCGCACGCCAAGAAATACGCCGGGACCGGCAGTTATATAAACCCTTCGCAACGCCCAAAGGGGGCCGTTCTGCCTACATTGCGCGCAGTCGCGGGAGGATGACCCGCAAAGGGAACGCGCAGTATCACCTGACCTGACCGCCTTTGTCGGCACCGCAGCCATCTTAGGTGTGGGCATAGTGCCCGTTCTCACTACGAATCTGCGGAGCGGGGTTAGTTTTGTCTCCTCCAGGCGGTCAGATTGAATGGGGGAAAGAACGGAGCGCGTCGCGCCTGCGCTCTGTAAGTTTCCCAGTCCCTTTTAACGGGAGTTTGTCGCCGTCCCGATCTATTCCACTACTCCGGTTTATCCCCATCGGAGGGAAGCTATCGCATTAACTGCTCCCAGAGATCAGCTTTCGTCAGTGGCTGCAAAACCAATACAGAACATTCGTAGCATCTTTATCCTAACAAATGTTTTTATGGCAGTGTCCGTGGGCGGGAAAGTTGGCGCGAAGACCCAATGAATACTTGCCTCCCCTGGAGGGTAACGTTCCTGGGCTGGTTCTGAACTGAATTCCAGTATAAAAAAGCTGATGTGGTACTTTGAAGTCCACAGAAGTCCTATATACTGTATATCTGTAAATACTTCAGTGGGCTTGCTGCTGTGTCGCCGTGCATGGAGGTTCAGTTGTGCTACTAAACATAACGTTGCACCCCCGTGCAGAATTAGAGCCAGGTCTTAGTAGGGTAGCATAATACTTAATTGCGAGATTAGTACAGCGGTTTCCGCATTCAGACCTCCCGTTCGCCACAAGGAACATTGGGCGACCTTAGGCCGGTAACCCCCCCTTAATGTCACTCCCGGAATCGTTGCGAGAATAAAAATGTGGACGTGCTTTGAAGAAAAGGCGGAACACAAAATAAGCTAATTAAATAGACATGTTTACTTGGAGCCCAGTTCAGAGTCATTTACTGTTAGCAGTAAATTCCAAAGAAGTGCTTAGGAGCAAGGCGGGGTATGTATAAGTAAATAAACAAGCAAACAAACAGGAGGATTTTGATTCCGGAAAAGTCGCAGTAACATAACTCTGGTGACTCATTAAACAGAGGCAATAGTTTGCCCGACTCTCTTATTTTTGCCCATATACTCGTAATTTAACCCTCAGAAGAAATCCGCACCCCAAAGGGCTCCGAAAGAGAAATGGTGGGTTTTTGAATCCGAGCGCGATCCGACCGGTGCCACCACACCGGCGCCCTTTTTCGAAATGAATTCGCCTCCTGCCGCTGACACGGTCCCTCGTGGGTGAAGCCCGGGGGGGGGGGGGGGGGCGGGCCGCAGTCTCCACGGTTACAGGGAAACACAAATCACGGCGCCCCAGTCCGGGCTCCGCGCAGTTCGTCCGCCGGCGAAACTGAGGCTGCCGGACCCATCTTGGGGCCCCTCACGCAGTAAGTGCTTCTTCCCAGGCGGCTGCCTGAGGCGAGGGGCCACCAAATTCCCCTTTCCCCTCCCGCAGCTCCCGATGACCACGATCGCTGTTGTGCGGGTTACGTTTCGCCCATGATCTCGTGGTCATGGATGTTCAGTACTGTTTTACTTCCAGCCATTCCCAGCTCTTTTTTTATAATAATAATAATAATAATTATAATAATGCCCCTTTAGGAGCTCTTTTCGGGTTCCAGGGCCCCCTGTCCAACAAGGAAAGCCTTTGGCTGTGGGCAAACAAGGATGCAATCCAAAAGGATGACCCTGCGGCCCCTTGTTGAGAATGGCTGTTCTAGAGCACCCAAGTCAAGTTTTGAACAGTTACATCCAACCCGAAGTAGTCCTTCAATTAATCTGCATGCTTTGTGGGGCAAGTATGAGGAATCACTGTTTCTGACTGTTCTGGATTACAATCCTCACAGTTGCTAACCACTGGGCAATTGCTTCCAGAGTTTCAAAACCATCCTGATGACCTAAGGGTTCCCAGCTCCTCCTAGGTTGTTGAGAATGGCTTCTAGACCAAAGGTAGGCAACGTGCTCCCCTCCCCAAATGTTGGACTGCAACTCCCATAGGCAATAATCAGTATAGTAATGGTGCGAGTTCAGTAATCTGGTAGTTTCAGTCCAACAAACATCTGGAGGTCCTCAGGGTTGTCCATCCCACTTCTAGACTGACAGACCTTGGTTTGTAAGTTCCGAAGGCTTCCAGCATGCAAAGCTGTTAATGATCTGACTAACTGAAACTCTTTTTCCCCTCCTAATACAGGTGTAATTATGACCACTCAAAAGGAGGAGCAGCCTTACCCTTTCGTAGATATATATGATGAAGATGAAGCTGACAGAACCTTTCTTCTGTCTAAGCCCACCTGCTTCATCATTCTTGGAAAACCAGTAAGAGAGAATGACGAATTTGATTGAATTGACACTTTAGATAATCTACATTCTTGTACAAATTGAAAGTGTGCATATGCAGAAATAATTTGTACTGTGTTCAGTAGGGTTTAGTCTTAGGTGAGTGTCCACTGGCTTAATGATAAATACATGTACTTGAAATTAAACAGGCCCCACCTGAAACAATGGAACTTATTTCTGGGTAAATCTGCAGAAGATTATATGGTTAGTGAGTTTAGCTTCATAATATTTTTTCTCACAGTTACCGAATAATGATTTTTCCAGGTCTGTCATTGTTAACAGACTTAAATTTTAGTAACATTGAAAATGTGTTTATGGAGAAATTTCTCACAGCAACCAAAATGTTAGGAGATCACTTTATGCTGCTTATTGCCTTTTAGAACAGTTGTGAAGGAAGAAAAGTTACATCTTTTTAATGTTATGTTTGCACATAAAGATAGCAAATAATTGATCTTCATTTTTTATATGTGGAAGAGGCTGAAAGTACTAAAATCACTGTTGTGTGTTGTGTCACATACATACATGTATCATTTTTTATTATCATTGAGAATGTGTCTGTGATCAAAACTGCACTAAAGGGCAAACCATTCCCAAATCAACTTAGCAATTTATGATGTGAAGACAATACAAGAAATAATTATACCATTAACACCTTGACAGCATCTCCTTTCCAATACAGAAGCACTGTCAGAGCTAAATCACACACATACACCCCCATTAAAAGTGTATTCTCTCTGTTTCTGTTTTGCATGTCATCTGTATTAATAAACTGGCTTTCTCTGTGCAGCCCAGAAGCCTGGTCTACCCAGCTGGACCTCACTTCTGATGGGGCAGCCTAATCTACTCTCAATCTGTTTAGATCAGCCCTCCATCTAGGCACTATCATTTCCTGGGCCAGAGGCCTGCTATACTGAACCCCAGATAGATCTGTCCACTGTTGCCTCAGCAAGGCCTGGTATACCAGCTATTGTTCCTCCACACCATTCCCCCAGAGGCCTGTTCTACCACCATTCTTGATTATAGTGGTAGACCAGACTTCTAGATGAGGAAGGGGCTCATTCTCTAAATTTGGCACCCTTTGGCAAGGCTGCAGTTGACCCACCCTAGTTATGGCCCTGCATTTTATGTTGCGGTACAACTTCAAAGTTGTACATTTTATATATTCGCGAAGGCTTTCACGGCCGGGATCTAATGGTTGTTCTGGGTTTTTCGGGCTCTTTGGCCGTGTTCTGAAGGTTGTTCTTCCTGACGTTTCACCAGTCTCTGTGGCTGGCATCTTCAGAAGACAGCAACCAGCACAGAGCCCGAAAAACCCAGAACAACCATTGTACATTTTATGTTGTAGCAAATGTGAAGCCATTACATAGGTCCTAGAATCTATTCCCAACTTCATCTCTGTGTGAAAATAGAATGATCTTTAATTTCAAGTACAAGTGTTGAGCATTGTAATCTTACTTAAACATAAATCTCATTGATTTTAAAAGGATTGATTTCCAAGTAAATATTGATGTTTCATCTGTACATCCTGATCAGCACTACATACCAGAATATAAGCTGCACTGAATTCTGTGGATTTCTTTTTATCCTATATTTAATATTAGAGTAGTTGAAGCTCTAGTACCTTGAAGCATCTTCAGAGCATCTCCTTTACCACTGGTTAAAAAAAGTGTAAAGAGAGATGTCATCTCAATTCTAAATGCAATGGATCTGGTTAGGCAAATCAGGCTGTGTATGCACAGCTAGTACTGTATTTTTGCTTCTGTTTGACGAGACTCTTTGAAACTGTGTTGTATTTCAGAAGAAGCTAATGGTATGGTGGGATTTTATAAAAATAAATGCAGATGCAGGGCTACATTTACACATCTAGAACACAGTATGAGTTATTTCCGCATGACAGATACAATTTGTATACCACTGTAGATAAAAACAAAATAGGATGTATGGGGGTATAGCATTTGGTTTGTTTGTTTGTTTGTTTCTTGTCTCTGTGTGACATTGTTATTCCTGTCACCTTTCATCTTGCTAGTCATGCTTAGCTCTACAGCAAATGTAGTTTTCAAGTACAGTATTTTTTTAAATGGTAACACTCAATGATATGATCAATTGTAGTTGGTTTGTGCCCTCTCCTTTTTCTTGTGAGCACATGTTAAACACAGAAGCATTGATTTTATAGCTATTCGTTTAAACAATCAGGTTGCACCTCTTTGAAAAAAAATAAAACCCAGTAACATCATGATCAATTCTGCTTTGTGAAATTTGGCAGCAAAATCCTATACATACAGCATTTTCTGTGGAGCTTACTCCCAGATAAGTACTTGTTGTACACTATTGTCTTATATAGCAATTGTATATGTGTCTACTCAAAAGTAGGCATCATTGACTTCCATTGGATTTTCTCTCAGGTAAGATAATTCCATTTTTGTGTCTGTAGCTTGAAATTGTGTAGTTAAATGTGTTTATAAATAGAAGACAGAAGCAAATTGATTTATCCCTCTTGGTTCTCCAAAGCTAGCAAGTTAGAAGGTGCCAAATATGTTTTTGTTCTGAAAATCAATAAAGACAAAATCAATGCAGGGAAATAGAAGAGAACAACAACAACAAAAAAAAGGGGGGGGAGGAACCAGACATTTCTTCCAGAAGTTTCAAGAAATCAAAGGGAAAGTCTGGATTAGGAAAGCTGAATAACCACCAGGAAAGCACACTATTTGACCAGGGAAAAAATAAAGAGAAGGTGGAAACAATATACTGAAGATCAATACAGAAGAGATAAAAGGATGACAGACTCCTTTGAAGAGGAATCCTCTGATGAAGAACCTATAGTTCTAGAAAGTGAAGTGAAAGCTGTTCTGAAACCACTAGGAAGAAATTAATCACTAGGGATAGATGGGATTCAAATAGAACTATTTCACGTCACAAAGACTGGATCTGTCAAAGTCCTTACTAGAATACAGGGGGGAAAAACAATGCCTCACGCAGTGGAAAGATTCAATATATATTCCAGTCCCCAAGAAAGGAGATGCCAAGTAACTATAGAACTTTTGCATTAATTTCCCATAAAGCAAATTGATGTTCAGTGTGTTGCAACAAATGCTTTTACCTTATAAGGCAGGGGTCAGGGACCTTTTTTACCTTTTACCCCCCAAAAAATTTATATACACCAACATTACCCCCTTGATTTAAAAGGAAGGAAATCATACATTATTTGAATTCAAAATATTATTGAATCTACACAGGCTGTGTACTGAACAAGCAGGATACACCAAATTTAATAAAGATGTGCACTATTTTTGCTGGAACACATTGCACTCCAGCCATGGTGTGGTATAGGGAGTAGTAAGGTGTCCAACGTGCCTAGCAAGTTGCATTAAATTTTTGCTAGCTTACAGAGGATTTAATCATCCTCAGTGGCTACCAGAGTGGTGCTAGCAATGACATGCTTGCTAGAGACAGCCAACGCAGA